GCGCACGCTGCTCATGAGGAAGAACCCCTCTGTGGTTCGAAACTAGTAGAGCTTTTCTCAATATATACACGTGAGTAACCCGCGATTTTTAGTTAAGTAATAACTTTAGTTGTTTTTAGTTCCTTACATTAGTTTTTTTTCCTTTCACTGTCTGGTAAAACATCAGGAATGTACTTACTTAAATTTAATCGAGGGTGAGGAACTGGTGACCTGTGACACAGGTCTTATTTAAAAGACCTACATCAGGCACCAGTCTCTCTAACTTTATAGTCTTAGCATTTCTAATTATAAGACTATGCCTATTGTGAAGAGAAAATAAATGATTTTTATTTTATTTTTATTTATACACTCACTGACGTACAGTTCTCTTGGGGAAGAGTCCATGGGCCTATTGTTCTTTGGGTGAAAAGTTAATGGTCAAAACATTCTATTGATTAAGCATTCACTGACGAAGAATTATGTGGGCGAAACGTTCGTGGATGAAAAGTCTGACGAAAAAATAATGAACAAAAATAATGTTGACCAATGGTTCATGGGCCAATCGATTGTTGGAAAATAGTTTCAGTTGCTTAGCTACTACGCCAAATATGCAGTCAAAAACTAGGATCCATCTAGATGGGCATTTTTAACAAATATCATTATTACACTAACGGCAAGAGTAGGGTATTGACAAATGTATTCTAATCACGCCGGTTTTCTATGAGGCCGTGGTATCAATCCAGTCAAGCCGACCCATTCGTGCCCACACTTAAAAATGTCAACTTTATTAGCAAATAATAAGGTTGTGCAGTGTTATTGAGACATACCTAAACAAGGTTTGCGCTATCAGCGTAGGTGTGTACACACGTCGTTGGAATTCGCTGATAACTGATAATGATAGCACGTCTGTACGTAAGTACTAGTAACTATGTTTTGTAAAAAATATTATTAACATAACATTACATTACGCCACGAAAGAGTAAGTAATCTATACTTCTATACTAATATTATAAAGAGGTAAAATTTGTAATTTTGTATGTAGGGGGTAATCTTTGGAACCGCTAGTGAGATTGCCAAAATTCTTAATTGATTGATAGCTACAATGTTCCTGAGTGCTATAGGCTATAAAACATCACGCTACGATTAAAAGGAGCCGAGCAGCGGATGAAACCGCGTGAGAGTATCTAATGTTGGTATAAAATGTTATATTCCATGTGATAGGGTAATGAACCGCGGCCTCGGCCTAGAGCAGGAGAATGAACGGGGGGGTTTTTAGTCAGTAAGAGTCTGACACTCTCTCTCGCCCCACACAAGGCAGGAGTCTCTAAAAGCCTTGCGTTATTGAGGGTGAATCTATAGCCAGTCATACAGCATTAAAGTATGTAGGTGTTCATTTTAGTGTAATCATTCGTTTGTAAGAGACGAGATTTTTTATTCAGTAAACAACACGGTAGTTTCCAACTAGTCAAATTTAATACTTTTAACCAAACGTCAAAAACTCAAAAATGATACTTTTTTATGAAAAACTGAGTTATGACGTCATACAATTTTTGCGTCAAATAGCTTACTTATTTTTTAACGATTAGCTACAAAATATCTAAAACTTGGTGTATCGATCGATCGATGAATAAAAGTAAAGTTATTTTTCAATATTTTATTGTATTGAAACGTCGAATTAATTTATTTTTGACCTAGGAAACTAACCAATTCCTTTTTTTTATGTAATAGGTCGGCAAACGAGCAGACGGATTACCTGATGGTAAGTAATCAGCGCCGCCCATGGACACTCGCAACGGAGGAGTTACGAGTGCGTTGCCGACCTTTTAGGGATTAGGGATTTGGAGATTTAGGGATTGAGGAGGGATTGGGGGTGGGGAAGGATTGGGCCTCCGGTAACCTCACTCATCCGGCGAAACACAACGCTGTGATTGTTTCACAGATGTATTGATTGACAGACTGACAATCTGAAACTATTTTTTATTGATCTTTTATGCATTATGTATTTAAATTCAGTTAATTCTGTTATGTAGGTACTGGTCAATTTGTTTCATTATTTCATGGCCGCCTCAGCGTGTAATATTTAGCAGAAGTGGTGTAGGTAATGCGTCAGTGTCACGGAATAGAAATGTGGTCAGTGTCGAGCGTGATAGAGGCGCGCCACCTACCGCCGATAACGGAGGAATTCCGCGAGACGTGACACACACACACTCACACGACCTAGTACACCAACACGTAAAATTATTGCACGAATACTGTCAATTACTTGCATACAAATTAAATAGTAATCTCAGAATACAGAACAACTGAGATAGTAATACTCTATACTCAATATTTTTATTGCTTTACCATAAGTACATAATTATAGAGGTGGTAATAATTTGTGATGCTTGGGCCACACTAAATAATTGATTTCATTTGTTTAGTGATCAAAATCACACTTACGATTAACCTCCATAATCTCGATAATAAATGGCATTTCTCGTTAGTGTGGCCCAAGCATGAGAGATCAATTATGGACCCTGTAGGACACAGAAAAATAGGGTAGGGCTTCCTTTGAGAAAGGGCGGCAAACGACCCATTAAATTACACCCGCCACACCAGAGGAGTTAGAGGTGCGTTGCCGTGCTTTTGTTGGAGGAATAGGATTTGGCCTCTAGTAACCTCATATATGGTAAACTAGCTTTTGCCCGCGACTTTTTTCGCGTGGAATAGTGACTCCCTACAGATTTTTGGAATAAAAACTACATATTCTATGTCCTTTTCCGAGTTCCAAACTCGCCTTTATCAAATTTCACACAAATAGGTTCAGTAGTTTAGGCGTGAAGAAAAGTCAGACAGAGAGACAGAGTTACTTTCGCATTTATAATATTACTTTGGATCACAATGTTAGCTTTGTTTTGATGCTGTGATCGAAATTTTACAAAAATGACAATACCTACAACATCTATTTAGCCAATACCTTTTCAATATTCAATTCAATTCAATTCAACTTTATTCATTAACAATTTATATTGTGTTTGAAATTACATACAAATTTTAAAATTATAAATTAAATACAATCACATTAAAAAGAAATATACATACAATTACAATAATCAAAAATCTAAATACAAAATAAAATAAAATAAAATTCAATGTCACCATTTTTACATAAATTTTAAAAATAATTTAAACTTACTCAGTCTCACAGTAATTAATGTCATAAGTTTTGAAAATTCATGTCATTTTAAATTGTCGATATATCATCATCTAGTATAAGGATAGTAATCGACAATTGGTACTTAGTAGAAAACAACTTGTATGGGAAACCAACACGTGATATGTCGCACGGTAGCGCTCATCAAGCCATAGGTACGCCAAATTAGATATATTTGGGGAGAAAAATTGTTTTGTTAGGTTTTCAATATTTTTTTTCTCTTTATGTGATTCTATTGCAAATATGGGCACTCACTCCACCAGAAAACTAACAAATGTGTTAAGAGATTTTGGGGATTTAAGGAATGAGGAGGAGAACCTCTCCATATTACACTTATATTATAAAGAGGTAAAATTTGTAAGTTTGTATGTAGGGGGTTATCTTTGGAACCACTGGTCGGATTGCCAAAATTCTTTCACTGATAGATAGCTACAATGTTCCTGAGTGCTATAGGCTATAAAACATCACGCTACGATCAAATGAAGCTTAGCAGCGGGTGAAACCGCGCGAGAGTAGCTAGTACAATATATTTCTCCTTATTTTCTTATAATTTTTAAATTATTTATCCATCTAATTCACGGGCAGACATTTTAAAATAGCTAGCTAGCTAACTAAAGTATGTATGATATCATTATACAAACAGATCCACACACAATTCAAAACAGAGCTCTTAAAAAACATTGTTTACAAAATCAATGACATCATAGATTTGATTTCAGACAAAAAATCTTAAGCACACAATTGATTTTGATGTTTATCTATTTAAAAGAATTTTATACAAAAATCTTAATCTTTCATCTGATTACCTATATTGTTATGTACCTACAATATTGTAGTAGCCATTTTACAATTAACATAATAGAATATATTTCACCATCCCTACTCTTTTTGTGAGTAAATTTCAATGAATAAATAATATCATATGTAACAGGGCATGTTGCAGCAATCTCTAATAAGTAACCTGATGCTATTAAACAGCAATCTACAATTTGATTTTCAAGTACAGAGATTACAGCAAGCTTCTCTTTAATAGAGGAGAGCTTTAGTATGGCAGCATAGTCACATGGGTTATTGCTAATCTATACTAATATTCTAAAGAGGTAAAACTTGTAAGTTTCTATGTAGGGGGAAATCTTTGGAACCACTGGTTGGATTGCCAAAAATCTTTCACTGATAGATAGTTACAATGTTCCTGAGTGCCATAGGCTATAAAACATCACGCTACTATCAAATGGAGCCGAGCAGGTGGTGAAACCTAGTGAGATTAGCTAGTGAAGTATAAGTTCTACTACAAACTTAGTCCTCACGATATATTAACTTGATGAATTAATTCCCTGTCAGATTATATGTTTTTTGCCCAATGCTACAATACTTAGAAGTGGCCTTGAATATAAATTGATTGACATTGTCTGCTTACCTACTGACCAATGGGTAGAAGTTTTAATTTTAATGATTTTGTTTTCTAGAGACTCACTTTTTGTATTATTGTTCTGTTAGAGATATTGTTTATTGATCATTTAAAGGTTGTCTAGCCTATATTTTATAAAAAAAACCTGGAACCTCTTCAAAAGGGCCCTATAGGTAGATTAAAAACGTGTATTGCAAAGCCCTTAAGACTTGCATGGTGATAACTGAATACTGTAATATCTAATGAATGCTAGAAATTCAATTACAAGGACCTCTACTGACCAAAAACCCATAAAAAATCAACAAATGATGATAATATAGCCAACATTTGAATAGTTGTACACAGAATAGGCAGAGCTAATTAATGTCATCATAATAGGCACAGGAATCAAGTCATACAGCCAAGGTTTATACTCACTTCCATATCGTTTGGCTCTGCGTCCTGTAACCGCGGGATCCTACGCTTCGGTATCACAAGGAAGTGCACGGGAGCTTGCGGGGAAATATCGTTGAACGCCAAACACAAGTCATCTTCATAAATAATATCCGCTTTGATTTCCTTAGAAATTATTTTGTCGAATATTGTTGGCCCCGGCGCAGCGACGCTCTGCGCCTGCGCACGGCGCACTTCATCGCTATACGGTCTACGTACAGCTATTGCAGATCCACGAGATAAATCATAGATATTCGTGGGATAACTCTTCTTCAGCCGGAACTTGAGGGCACGTTGCAACACTTTATTAAACATTTTTATTGTTTTTCACATCGGAATTCCATCGTCACGAAATCACGCAATTTTTACAACTGATAAGATTATGACTTTGACATTGACAGCAACTTTTTGACAAGCATTATTTATTGACGTTTTAATGACAGCGGCATGGCTGTGTTGCTATCCCATAAATTATAAACCTACCAAAGGGATTACTGACTGTACTGAAAAATGAGTTAAGTAACTAAATCAATAATAATATTTGTATTCTGTTTCGGCCAACAGTATGGACTTGCGAGCTGCAGCTTAGATCCAATAGCAATACTACCTTATTGTACTGTAATCCTTATCAAGTTAATCACGTCTTCTGTCCACATTGTGAGTGGACCTTCTGCGCTACGCTAAGCGATAAGTCACGCTTGATCACATACACATCATGTTTGATTTCCGTACGAATTTATTTTTGATAATTCTTATCACGACTTGTCTGGTGTGAATTTCATATTTATTAATTTTATTTGTAACTGACTTATACTCTCTTTATATCTTTCATATTATTATTATTTATTATGTATTTCATATTTTATACATTGATCACCATTCGATTAAGAATAATATAGAGGGAGTTAAATAATTACAACATCGTGGAAAAATATAAGTAATACTTTATTGTAATATGCAATTATTTTCCAAAACTAACGAAGCTTCATTTATTAAAAATATACATTTATTACATTTGACTTCGTTATGACACCATTACCCGTAAATACGTGACTCAATATTTCGAAAGTTGTCACAATTTACATTTATTAAATAGGTATAACTTAGATAAATAAAAGTTGTATAACTTAAAAACTAAAATCAGATAGCAACTTTGCCAGTTTTATTTTCGAAAATTATGTACTATTTATAAACATTCGCCAAAGGCAATCGTCCTAGCTTACTGTCAGAATTGTAAAACTTATACAAATTGCAATCTACGTCACACGCTATTCCTACTAGTTAATTATTATTTCACACCTTTCATTCAATGACACGCCCTCAATATTAATATAATTTATTGAGCAAATTCTTGTTTAATAAGCTTCTTATAATTTAACACTATATATTATGTCTTATAACTAAAATTGCATCACATTTATAATTCACTAGTTTAAAATCTTAATAAAGTAATATAAACATAATTGCTACAACAGATCCATTATTCCATGCAACTACAGTAAAATTTATGTACAGTCAACTAACTTACTTGACATACATGTGAGAATATAAAAATAAAATGTTTTAATCAGCTATTATTAAATATACCGGATTTACCGTAAAAGTGTACACAACCAATGGTTTTTCCAGTCTCTGTACTAAATTTATTTTGTATTCTCTTAGTCGCGCAAATAGCTTAGTCAAATGAATTTTACTACACATGTATTAAAAAGAAAGTCACTAAATAAGACAAAGTATAGTCAATGTTCAACTCTGTCGTATACGAGTGTAAGCTGAGCCGGCGACAGTGAGCAGCATTCTGAAGGTACGGTATACGAATGCACGCAGATACTGGTTACGCAGCGCGAGTCGACAGAGCAGCGTTACCACGAAGAATATTACGCCTTGGTGTAAGTAGTACATCCTGGAATATTGAAATCCACATTTGAGGTAATCGTCTTAACGTTTATTGAATATATAGATACAGAATGTAAGTAGTAGCAAATTTTATATTGAATTAGTTTGAATTGCCCAATCCTTTTCTCTCTCCTCCAATCTCTAAATCATTGAAACCCCAAACCCCAAAAGGCCGGCAACACACTCGTAACTTCTCCAGTTTTACGAGTGTCCGTTGGCAGCGCGGATTGCTTACCATCAGGTTAACACGTCGTGTCGTTTACATGTCATAACAAACATTCCAATACCGCAGAAACTAATCCGTTTAAAGTCGATAGTAATTTGTTACCTGCGCAAATGTTTTCTTGCCTCTTCGATGTCTTGATCTTTCTCTTGTAACAAATATTTTCTGGCTCCTTTTATAAAGTTGCAGTAATGTTCGTTCCAACTGTAAAAGTTCATTATATTTTAGTCTTAAAGGATTAACACAATAGCTGTAGCTAATAATACAACAAAAGCCTCGATTTCTTCATCATCGATTTCATTTTCAGTTCTGTTAAATTCATAAATCAAGCCTTGATTTTAATTAGACCCTTATAGGCACAACATTAAACAAAGCTTTAAGATCAAAAGTGTGTACGTTAATAATGGTCCTATTATGGACCTGGCTTCTGACATGACTTTTTTAGCCAAAAGAATCAACCAACTTATGCAACGCCTAAACTACCAGCAGTATACGTTTTAAAGCTTACAAACTTCAGAGACGACAAAGTTATTATACACAAAATGTGGAAATAAAGCCGCTTACTTGATTGTCTGCGGATCCAAGTTGTAGATGGCAGCATCTTGTGGCGTCAGCCTGGCGTGTAGTTTGCGCACGTTGTCGGTCACAAAGTGCCACTCACGCACTGAGAAGAATCTTAGCACCTCATTCATAGCAATAAGTCGTTGACTCACTGTTATGAGGCTCAATCTGAAAATAGGGAATGACTGATTTAACCTTTCAATGGTGGTAATTCGAGACACAATTGAAGTAAAATAGGTGCGTGTTTTTGCGTGAAAGCCGGCGTTCATTTGGGATTTTATGTACTAAAATCGAAAATATAAACTTGAAATTAATAGATAAGCATTTAAGAAAAATTGTCCTCGTATAAAACTACCAGTTTGGTAGAAATTCTTAACGGGGACAACATCAATGTCACCGTTTCTTTCAACGCAGAATTACTAAAAAAATAAATATATTATTTAGATTTGCTCACTCACCTAGTTTTAATTCCTAAAATCTTCGACACGTATTCAGCGATGTGCAACGGAGCTGTCTGCAGTACCGTCTCCAGCGTTTTCTGTGTGTACCTGTAGAATTTATTAACGAGAAATAATTTCAACGCGTTGTCAACAACAACGATTTTACCACGATAAAAGTTGATAACGACTTAAATCATGTTTCCTGTTGTGTATCACGCCTCTAGATTCCACGCTAGCAATTTTAACTTGATTTTAACTTTTTATTGAACAGGAAACATAGCATATTCCTCATGCTTTACTTCAACCGGATAAGGTTACTGACAAAAAATATCTATTGTATCTAATAATATAGGTAATCTAAAAAACGGCAATTTCATAGGTAAAGACCTATTATTATAAAACTGTAGAGTTTATTTGTGTAAAGGTGCTAATCTCTAGAACTACTAGTCCGCATTGAACAATTTTTGCCTTTTTGTCTTCGCTAGTCCATTCAATGAGGAAGGTACCCTATAGCCTATAGACTATAAAACATCACGCTACGACCTCCAGGAGCCGTGAAGTCGGGAAACCGCATCAGAGTAGCTGGTGTCATATACCAAAATAACTATTCCATAGTCAATAGTCGACCGTCGGCAGCCATCCAATGACTCCTCCTGCCCTAAGAGGAATATCAAACTCTTCCTGACTAAAAACCATCCTTATGGCTCTTAAAGCGGTTGGGGCCTCTCTTATAAAGTAATTAGGTACACTAAACTTTGCAATGATTCAACCAACAAAATACCAGTTTTTTATGGTGCTGTCACGTCAGACTGATAATGAGCTACTCACTTGTTCTCCACAGTGATGCCGCTGGGGTACCAGAGTGCGTTGTCCAACGGATGTCCACGTAGGTGGTGGCGCAGCGCCGTCTCGAACTCCCGCCACGTCGTAGGGTTCTCGCACGTACTGCAGTTGTACACACGAACTGACTCTGGTCTGGAAATAACAACATACCATCATCATCAGTTGGAAACTGCCTTACGAGAATTAGCCACGATACCTTTCACAGTTCGTGAATGTTAACCATCTAAGTATTGGTCGGCTCCGGAGCGATACCACGACCTCACAGAATACCGGCGTGAAACAACCACAACGTTGTGTTTCGCCGTCTGAGTAAGGTTACCGAAGGTCCAATCCCCCCTCCCCCTGCCCCTCCCCCCATCCCTTCCCAATCTTTAAATATCCAAAACCCATATCCCTAAAAGGCCGGCAACGCACTCGTAACTCCTCCGTTGCGGGTGTCCATGGGCTGATTGGTTAGCATCAGGTAATCGGCCTGCTTGTATGCCGACCTATACCATAAAAAATCTATAATACTTATGATGAGAATGAAATTATTTTCGCGTGGGTCTGTGGCGAAAAGATGCGCCCTTAATAGGTATAGGCTATAGAGAAGAGGCTATACGCAACACCAAAAGATAACACATAACGAGGGTACATCTCTACGCAGTGTTAAAGGGTCCAGCCGGTCTAAGACAACAGTAACTTAACATAATCCCCGAAAGATTATCCATTTTTCACTAGATATGTTATGAGTGCTGTGTGTGAGAATATATGTACATAGGTAGGCACTGTTCTGACCGATAAACTCCAGGCTACTACCTCTACCTACTGGGATTTATTCGAAAAATCCTCAATAATACTTTGATCGACCCTTTTCTTTGGCAGTCAAATGACCAGATTGGGGCGAAAAACAGTGTCAGCTTAGGTATTTATTTCTTAAACGATAGATCAATGAATAAAAGTATACTTAGTTATTTTTTAAACATTTTATTGTATTGAAACCGAATTAATTAATTTATTTTTGACCTATTAAAACTACCAAATTCAGAAAACATACAAAAAAACTAAACGTAATTAAAAACAATATTTTCCCGCCATGATTCACTCGCGGAAAGATGTCACGGAACTACCTACAGACTATAAAAGACTAGAAGTGACAGACATTGTTCGCGCAGGCGCACTGGCGACGTTCGCTCCATATTACTATTAATATTTTATTAGCGTATTAATGTTCCGGTGTTTTTAATTATTATTGTTATTTTAACCTTCAACTCTTATTAAACTGATTGTAATAAAACAAAGAATAGTGTAGGTACCTACCGGGGTGTGGTCGCCGAAAATGGTTCGATAGTAATTTCCTGACCAAACGAAATGTCTTTCTGATCATTAACTTTTATTTTAATTGTTATTTAGATACTTCTGTTGTTAACCAGGTAACTAGCTACTGTCTAGCGACTGAATAATACATTATTCATTTGTATTATGACTCTTTAATCAGCAATTTGAATCAGCAAAGGGAATCCTTCGAAAACAATGAAAATTAACGTAAGTACCTATAGACGAGGGAAGTGAAAATAAAATTGACCGCGAATATATGGATTATATATACGTATATTCCTTTCGGTTTTTTATGGGATAAGTCTGCAAACATGAATGGATTACCTGATGGTAAGCAATCGGCGCTGCCCTTGGACATACGCAACACCAAAGGAGTTACGAGTGCGTTGCCGGTAATTACGGAGTTATTGAATAGAATATTAAATATACCGGATTGGTGAATAGAATAGAATGACTTTAACCTGTTAGTCTCTTTCTACAAACCGGATAAAGTCAAAGTCAGGCACTTTTGAACGTCAAACAAAGCTTAAACATAAAAATTGCAGTCTGGCGGTCAGTCCTCTTAGTGAAGCTATTTTTTTTAATTTAATTGCCTCTTTATACTAACCGATCTATAGCAGTCTCCCAAGCTACAGCAAGCAGTGTGTCTATCGCCATGTCTACCGGCAGCATGTCAGCGCGCGCCGCCATCTTGCAGCAGAACACGTGCAGCAGCCCCTTGCCAGCCGCCACTACCACACCGCTAGGGCCGTTCAGGTTCTCGATCCAGCCAGGAAATGGGTGCCGGAGAGATGATATCACTGGGGAAGATAAGAAAATATTGTAGAACAAATAGGATTACATTATGGCATAAGATGGCAAATAAAGAGAGGATTCAGCGGATGGTAAGCAATCGGGATGTCCGTGACAAGAGTGCGTTGCTGGCCTTTTCAAGGACTGGTAGGATTGGATTTAGTCCCCTTTTTTATGTGATTGGTCGGCAAACGAGCAGACCTGATGGTAAGAAATCAGCGCCGCCCATGGACACCCGCAACGGAGGAGTTACGAGTGCGTTGCCGACCTTTTAGGGATTAGGGATTTGGAGATTTAGGGATTGGGGGCGGGTAAGGATTGGGCCTTCGGTAACCTCACTCACACGGCGAAACACAACGCTGTGGTTGTCTCTTTAAATCCAACCCTCAAACTGTTCCCAAGATTTGGCTGCTATCACGCCTGATGGTAAGCAATGATGCGACCTATGATAAAGCACGACTACCCATAAGCAACCTATTCACTCGGGCCTTGAAACATCCAGGTTATACGATTGGGGAACACAGACTCCGGCGAAGAATGCCACTCCTTATCTTGATCATAAAAACTGGAAGAGCTTCCTCGAATATTCTCAGAAATGCTAGCCCCTGAATCACACTTAAAACGCTTGGTCATAGAACTGTTCCTAATTCATCATCTTCCTGCCCTTGTCCCGTTTTATTTGGGGTCGGCGCAATATGTTTTTTTTCTTCCATTCTGTCCTGTCACCCGTCACGCTATCACTAACTCCTCTGTCTTACATATCACTTCTCACAAAATCCATCCATATTTTCTTTGCTCTCCCTCTCCCTCTCCATCCGTCCACATTTATGAAACTGTTCCTAATTAAAGACTAAATATTTGTCAGTAACTAACCGATAGTAGGTCTGAATATGGCGACTGGGTATCCTCTGTTCCCGTGTTCCTGCACCACATTCTCAGCCAGCGCCTTCGTGAACGTGTACGTGTTGGGCTTCGGGGATATATACCTGGGAACAGTAAAACATTTTCATATATGTATAGATTATTAGTTTGTCATTTATATGGACGAAAATTGGCTGTCAATAATGATTATGGAAAAGACCGAGCCAGAAACTTCATTTCTATTTTAACTGGTATACTGACTGTGTATTGATCTGTCCGAGCAGGTCTACCGGCAGTGTCTCCGCGAGGGTGCAGGCCTGGGACAGTGGCACTGGTGCAGGATACACACGTTCCTCCACCACGGTCAGCTCCGCGTTACTGTATGCTGTGGACACGTGGATGAAGGCCTGAAGAGGAAAATACCGTTTAGATAATGAGTAATTCTGCTAAGCAAATGGCTTAGATGGTAGACGAAGAGTAATATCAAGTAAATTTTTATAAAAATAATTTAAAATTTGCAATTAGATTGATGATAGTATCTAATACCTATAATAAACCCAAAAGTTTATAAGTGCGGATGGATGTTTGTTACTCTTTCACGTAAAGACTACTGAACGCTACGCTGATCTCAATGAAATTATGAGCGAGATTCTAGTCTGAACAGAGCTAGATTATGGTCTGTAATAACACACAGTCTACTTCGGGTGGGTTCTGGTTTTTAGGGCTGGTTCGGGCGAAGCTGCTGCTGCGCGCCGTAAACTAGTGAACAATGCGTAAGTGCAACGCATTGTTCACTAGTTTACCATAAAAATGAATAGTGAAATTGATTGAGAAAGAGTAACCATGGAGTTTCTTGGTTGTACTTCTTAATTCGAATCTATAGTTTGGAACGAGCAAATATTTACAAGAGGACAGACCCACCAGTTGCACTATTTGATATTTGTTTTTTGTTTCTAATTGAAATAAAGTATTTGAATTTGACTTTGAAATGTTGATAAAAATCCTACGTGTTAATCCAGGTTATCACCTATCTGCATACCTCAACCAAATCGGTCCAGCCGTTTTGCGTAAAAAAATAACACACATACATACATTCTCAGAAACTTTCACATTTATAATATTATTAGTAGGATAGTATACGATTAGGAGAGTTATTACTATATAATATGTATACCTATATAATCATCTTCAAGCGTAACAAACAGCTTTGAACTTGAAAATATATTGTATATTGTAAAAGTTATGTACTATCCGAGAATAAGTTAAAATTTGGCCTTGCCGGTCAGCTGTCGGTAGCGAGCAGTCAGCTGTATTTTATCTAATTATTAACCTAAGTTGTAGGCTCGTTTACCTTCAGAGCGAACTGCCAGTTACCTAAATGTTGCTAATAGGTACCTAATATGCCTTTAATTTCGCCCACTTTACCCAGATTAGAGTTACAATATTAGCAATTGCAATCGCAATTGATTGAGGGATTGTGTTTGGTTGAAAGATTCACTAATATACCCAATATTAGTGGATCTTTTCATTAAATAAAATTAATAGAATTGTAGTTATTATAAAAATTTAAGCACCTACCTACTTATTATACAATATACAGATTTAAGTGGGTGCGGATATTGAATAATCAAAATGTCACTGTAACTATGCTTTCCTATTCAAAAATCACTTAATTTTTTAATTTGTAAAACCCAAAAGTATAACTTTATTCATACTTTACGAAACAAAAACTCAAGAAGAAAGATCTTCTAAATGCGCATTTTTGTTATTTCATTTTTGTAGACTAAAAATAGGAAAGGTCCTAATATTGAGCCCTGTGGCATGCCCATAGATATGATAGCTTCCAGAAGGTTCACTTTATTTGCTTGTGCTTTGAGCTGCTTACCCTGTAGGTTAGGTTTTATTTATTGAGAGAATCCAAGTGTAGGGTAAGATTATTTTAAAGAAAATGGGTACTTAATATTTCCATATTTCTTTTTATTTAGGATCTAGTCTTTGTCCGGTTCTTTACAAGTGTGTCTCAATGGTATGTTAAGAAAATTATAAGAATGTTGCTTGAGCAGATACAGTTTAAATGGGTGACAGATTACTAAGTTCTCTTACCGCCATGTTGGGTAGTTTGTCGCAGATGTCGAGCAGTCGCTCCACGGAGCGCACATTCTGCTCGATGGCCACCGGCAGCGGCTCGTCGAACTTCAGCGTCGCCGCCGAGTGGAACACTATGGACACCTGCGGCAACGATAATTAGAAATATATAAGTATCACACCTTCCATATATCATATCGGCATAATTATCTGAAGTGTGGGTGAGCCATGCTTCGGCTCGACTGAAGTGATACCACGGCCTCACAGAAAACCAGCGTGAAACAACCACAGCCTTGTGTGTATATATGAGTGACTTTACAGGCCCAATCCTTTCCCTTCCTCAATCCCAAAATCTCCAAATACCTAATTCTCAAAAGGTCGGCAACGCACTCGTAACTCCTTTGGTGTTGTGGGTGTCTATGGGCGGCAATTGCTTACCATCGGTAATCCGTCTGCTCGTTTGCCGTTCTCATAAAAAAATCCCATCAGCCGTAGCGTAGGTAATGATGACAAATGGACTATCAATTCAAACAAACAAACACATCACCACAGGTTCTCTTCTGGTGGGTGTGGGATAGCCGACTAAAGGAAAAACATATTTAACATAGACCCATCACCAGCGCTCTCGGAGAAAAAAAAAACTAAAGTATGTAGTCAGGTACCGTTTTGTTCGATAAATTTTTGCCATCTTGTAGGTAGGGACATGATCACATTGCTTTAGAAATTTGGATTTTTCTGCTCAAAATACCGCGACAAATTGGTTTTGGCAGTCCTCTCGCGATGTTAACCTGGCACTGACACATTCCTGTACACTAGGACTTCTTTACTTCCGAATAAAATTAACAAAATTATCAACATTGAAAGGATGATACCAGTGCAATCTAGAAACAAAACAGTAAAGCAATATCTACAAGATATTTTCATCACACGCTACACGCATTACAAGTCCCACGAGTAATGATGGCCACGCGGGCACGCACCATTCATTGTAACTACCAATTACATTATATTTCGCAAAATGTCGTCAACAAATAATTTTATAATGCACTAACATTTTGACGACGGCTTCACCTGTGTTGAATTTTGACGTTTGAAAAGCTTCCGATACTGTAAAAATAATAACTGTACTGATATTATAAAGAGGTAATAAGTTTGTATGTAGGGGGTAATCTTTGGAACCGCTGGTTGGATTGCCAAAACTCTTTCACTGATAGGTAGCTACAATGCTCCTGAATGTTATAAAATACTAGCTACTCTCACGCGGTTTCACGCGCTGCTCGGCTCTATTTAATCGTAGCGTGATATGTTTTATATCTTATAGCACTCATTGCATTGAACATTGTAACTATCTATCAGTGAAAGATTTTTTTGCAATCCGACCAGCGGTTCCAAAGGTTAACCCCTACATACAAATCACATTACGATCTATAGACGCAGTGGATGAAATTGCGCGAGATTACCTACTTTTTTATATATCAGGTTGGTGAAAAATGTCCCGGGACTTAAAACTTTTGATTAACTTTTATGTATTTAGAGTGCTGTCTTAGCTTAGCATGTATTGTCATACAAAATAAACGTGTACTTAAACAAACTTATACCTCAATCCGTTGAAGATATAGATAGTAGTTCAGCTTTCCAATGATAATAAAGCTATTTGTAAATCCCACAAGCAGTTTTATAGCTTTTTCAATGCAAACAAAAAAAATCGAATTATTCCATCTTAATAATACAAAGATAAAAGTACTGGATGTGTCGCAATTCAGGGTGTCGTAAGATTGAGCGTAGTACGACGCGGAGCTGCCAATCATCAAAATTACTTGTAATTGCAACGCAGTCGCCACCGAACGCAGATTGTATTACGAAATTATATATTACTTGGGATATATGCGTGGACAATTTAATATTTGTTTAGTATTAGTTTTACCCGCTGCTCCGGCCCTATTGGGTATGAATAGCGTGTTGTTTTAACTTGATTGCGCGTTTTTTAAGTAAAGTATAACTTGTCTTGAGGTTCGAATACCACACGGAGCAACTCTTTGTGTGATCAACAAATTGTTGTCCCGGGTCTTGGTGTCATGTGTATGTCAATTTCTATGTGCGTGTACGCACGCACGAGATGGTGGAAAAATTTAGTGTCCAAAGTTTAAAAAAACAATAATTAGTTAACAATTAAATGTATCTATCTATCTAGTTTTATAATAGCCGACAGTGGTCCTCCGTAAACGATCTCTACAAAACAAAATTATTATTCAAGTTAAATTCGAACCAGAGAACGCGGTGTACGCAAAAATACTAACTGAAGAATTAGTATTTTTTTATCTATACTAATATTATAAATGCGAGTGTAACTCGGTCTATCTGTCTTTTCTTCACGCCTAAACTACTGAACCAATTTCTGAGAAATTTGGTACAGACATAGTTTGGAACACGAGAAAGGACATAGGTTAGTAAAAAATAATAAATATTTCTAATTTATAGCCTCATAATAACTAAACACAGCTGGCGACCAATGTTTATTTATTTAAAGTAAACTTCAATTCAAGTATTTTCAAAACCACAATATTGTATAGATTCGAGTTGCTCTCGAATCAATGTTTAGTTTAAAAAACATGAAGATGGTCACATGTTTGACAACGTGTGTACTAGTGTATACAACTTTTATTTAAGTATAAATTAAACTTTAGGCGTTCATGAATTCGAACTCTTTGTACGAACGTTAAGTGTCGCTTCTTGCATATTCAAATCTTTGTGTTTTTATTTGAAAAATGGCGCGTTTGCATTTTTATCAAGAAGGGAATACGTAAGCAAATAATTTACTATTTTAAAAGTAAAGTAGGTAATATTTACTTTCTATGACACTTTATACATCAGTGACGTCACAAACCCTTTTCGTGTTAGAAGACGCTTTTGCTTGGCAGTGGGCATTTATAGGCTGATGATGATGATGATCATGATAATTTTATATTTATATACCTACATACTTTACATAAAAATACATTGTGAAGATCTCATAGTAAACGTTGGAATTTCTTTCTTATATTTACTTTACGAAGAAATCTCAATATAAGTAAAACCAATCAAATCGTAATTCGAAATTCTAATTTCAAATCTTGTACCTACGAAACAAGATGGCGGGTTACATTTCGACACGCCACACATAACATGATTACTTTTTAATTTCATAGCAGAATTCGAAGGGCTTTTATAGGCTAAGGACATGGTGCAAACTGCCATAATATTAATTCACGAGGGCCAACGCGGTCACGGTCCGACATTCTCCATGGTATGAGCTGTCTGAGACACCATGGAGCACCCAAAGGGCCAAATTATGATACGGTTGACCTCGGTCGCGTGGTCAAAGAAAAATAGATTTGCCAATATCGCGCTCCACGCTCCAGCCTCGTATGATCGTATCATACCAAGCTTAGAATATTTGTGTTGAGTGACAGAACAACAAACAAGTTGTACTTTTACATCTATATTATTATAATATTAGAAAGCTGAAGAGTTTGTTTTGTTTGAATTTAACAAATGTTTTTGTGTTCGTTAGTTCATTTGTCGAGAAATTAGGAGATTAGCTAGTTTATGATATACTTCAGATAGTCACATCATCATCAGCCTATAAGTGCCCACTGCTGAGCAAAGGCCTCTTCTCACACGGAGAAGGTTTGAGCATTAATCACCACGCTTGCTCAATGCGGGTTGGCGATTACAAACTTACAATTAGAAATTATAAGTCCAGGTTTCCTCACGATGTTTACCTTCACCGTATGTCAGTGGTGTCTAAATAATCATAGAAAGTACATATAACTCGGAAAAAGTCACATTGGTAGGTACTTGCCAGGTTTCGAACCCACACTCTCATGCATGGGAAGTGGGCTCCTTAACCTCCAGGCCACCACGACACAAGATAGTCACATAGCTTTTAGAAATTTTATAGGTATTCAAACTTAGTACATAGCAGTTTTTCGCACTAAAGTAAGGTCAGCTTTTCGGTTTTCCGATTATTCAGTCCGAAAAACCGTTTGCTGTCAGGGATTTTTAAAAATTGTAAGTACATAAAAATTCAAATAGCCGCTAATTGCTTACCATTGAGTAACACGACAGCTCGTTTGCTGAAGTATCAAAAAAAAAGTTGTAACAAAGAGCTTCGGACGTTTTTTACACAACCTCTTTTTGTCAGGGGAAAATCATCAAATGACTTCTCCCTCCCTGTATAAGGCGAGAGAGAGTGTCAGACTCTAACTGACAAAAAACCCCTCTTCCTTCTCCTGCTCTGGGCCGATGGGGCGGTGACTCATTGCGCTTGACCGACTTGGACTGTTCTAACACAACCGGAGTATAAGTATTAAATCCTAAAATAAAATATGTATGTAGATGTTTCGAGAAACATACAGCCTACAGCTGTGTGTTTTCTTTTCTTTTTTTTCCTTATTAGTCAGATGGAAAAAACACGTATTTTTATTTAGGTAGATACTTTTTTTATAAATTAAATTTTATTACGTCAATGTAAATGTAAATGAATTTAAAATTGGACTTCAAAATGTAGGTTTAAAATATTATGTCTTGTAGCTGTAGCTTAATTATAAAAAAATTCTCACTTCATAAAATTCTAGAATAATTTTATAGTACTTATGTAGTATTTATTTTATTTTTGTATATTTTCGGACGGGTGTTCAGCTGGCTTAGTGGCAGTCATTTATTTCGTTTTGAAAACTGCCATGACATTGAAAGAATTCTTTTTATATGGTAGATCGGCAAACGAGCAGACGGATTACCTGATGGTAAGCAATCAGTGCCGCCCATAGACACCAGTATCAACGGAAGAGTTACGAGTGCGTTTGCTGTCCTTTTAGGGATAAGGGTTTTGGGGATTTAGGGATTGGGGGAGGAGAAGTATTGGGCCTCCAGTTACCTCACTCACACGGCGACACAGCGCTGTGGTTGTTTCACGCCGGTTTTCTGTGAGGCCGTGGTATCACTCCGGTCCAGCAAACTCATTCGTGCCGAAGCCTAGCTCTCCCACAATTGTAGATAAATAGATATATGAATTTCTTCGAATTTCATGAACTGGTATACTAGCCACTGGCTATTGGTCGACTATCTTACATATGCATCTTATGTTAATGATATGTTTGTCATCAAAACACTTTTTTCTCTGTTGTAGCGGGTATAAATTGCCGTTATAGATTGCTTGTTGTAATCCATTCCTGTTCGTTGCCATAAAACAGGCCTACGTACCTCTCGAAGCTGCGCGATGGCCTCAGCATCCATCCCCAGCTGTGGCTTGGACACATCTCCGGAGACCACGCACAGCTTGTCCAGCTGGCGGTGGTTGCGCGCGCGCACGTTGTCGAATACCTGCAGGAGAAGATCATATTATTGGTGATGAAGAAATCTGCGGCTTGCGACCACGACCTGAGTGTGCAACCAGGTCGAAACGTCAACAAACCTTCACACACTTCACACAAGCAAAGTACCTCGGCATTTTTTAACCGACTTCAAAAAAAGAGGAGGTTCTCAATTCGATTGTATTTTTTGACTCCAAAAATAAGTAATAAATTTTGAATATTTGCAAAATATGAATGTCAAATAAGTTTACCTATAAATTAAGTTTCTTTACAGCAATTAAAATTTTTATTTTTAACTTTTTACTGTAGGAACTTTTATCGTTTGACTTTTTTTGAAGGCGGTTTTTTTGTTTTTTTTTTTTATTATTTGACACTTTTGTCCTGTTCCCGTTTCATTATTGCAATATCCTGTTGCAACTAAGCTTTAAGTTTACTAAGGTGCCTGCATGCCAAATTTCAAACGTCTAACTTAAGCGGTTTAGATTTTTCATATAAAAGTACTTTCCCGCTAATTCCCGTTCCCGTGGGAATTTCGGGAATTCCTTTCTTAGTGCACCTTTAAGGTACTTAGGCTACGTCCCTTCCAAATATCAAGTGCCAACGTTTAGACGTTTAGGCTGTGCGTTGATATACATGTCAGTCAATTCCTCCTTTTATAAGTATATTTGGATTTTGATAATTACTTTTCGAGTTAATATCCGTTTAAAAATATGTCGTTAACATGAAACGCGAAAGTTTTAAGTATTAGTGTAAATATGCTTTTAGATCTTGCTCGTTCTTCTCCATTCGAAACTACAATTTGGAACGAGCACCTAGCTTCACTGACGAACAGACTGACAGACTACTATTCTATTGTGACGTTTCAAAAGTACCTATTTATGGTTTAGTTGGTTGAAATTAATGATTTTGCACACGTGTTGTGTTAGGGATATAGGGACAGAGAAAGCGACTTTGTTTTATACTATGTAGTGATGATGCCAGGTACCTGTGACTGCTTCAGCTGCGCGAGCCTCTTCTGCGGCGAGTGCCCCTTCTTGTCCCGCATGAGGAGGTGGAGGCGGCCGACGTCGGGGCACGTTGCTAGTATGCGTTCCACCAACACCTGTATCGGGAGATGACAGTTACAAATAGGTCAGGTTTAATGGATTTTTTATGTGATTTGGCAGTAAATGAGCCATCTGATTACCTTAACAATAGAATTTTAAGTGTGTTGCCAGCTTGGGATTAGGGCACTGGAGATTTACGGATTGGACGAGGGGAAGGATCGGGTCTCTGGTTACCCCAATCACACGGCTAAACACAACGCTGTGGTTGTTTTGCGGCAGTTTTCTGTGAGGCTGTGGTATCACTTCGGTCGAGCCGATTCGTGTAGGAGAATGGCTCTTTCACACTTAAAATGTGGAATATTCTTCTAGGATATAGGAATAATGGATGGGGGAGGGGGGAGGTCATATATCGACGCAAATTAAGCCTATTCAACCGGAGTGATACCACGGCCTCACAGAAAACCGGCGTGAAACAACCACAGCGTTGTGTTTCGCCGTGTGAGTGAGGTTACCGGAGGCCCAATTTTTCCCCATCTTAAATCCTCCAATCCCTAATAATATACAAGAGGCCGGCAACGCATTTGTAGTGACTCCTTTGTTACTGCGAGTGTCCATGGGCGGCGCTACTTGCTTACCATCAGGTAATCCGTCTGCTCGTTTGCCGACCAATGCCATAATATCGAAAAGAACAGTAGATGGAAGATCAACATACCTTCCCCATGAAGCCAGTAGCTCCCGTGATGAGGATGGAGCGTCCCGCGTAGAAACGAGGTATGAGCGGCTCCGCGGGGCTGGGCGATACCGGCCGGGGCACCATTGTTGCTGGGGAACAAAAATACATTACAATGAATTATTAAAACAAATTACCACCACAACTCTTCACGTGGGTTTGATATACCCGACTAAGAGAGACGTATTACACATTAGTCCTGATACTGGAGAGTACCAACATTGAATTCTGGACCTTTTAAATTGCGATTTTACGAGCGTTGAGATGCCAAGGGAGAGGCGTTGTGTTTCGCCGTGTGAAGTGAGGTTACCGGAGGTACAATCCTGCCCCTCCTCCCATCATCCTTCCTAAATCCCTAAATATCCGAAAGCCTAATCCCCAAAAGGCTGTCAACGCACCTTTGGTGTTGCGAGAGTCTAATTGCTTACCATAAGGTAATTCGTCCAGTCATTTGCCGACCTATTCCATATCCAAAAAATATGACACTAGACTATCATGGTTTGTTGAGAATTCCTGTTGAATGGAATTCTGTTGTGGGGACAGGCATCCGACGTTGAGTCTATTTTTATCTTGCAAAAGCGTGCCGTCAGAGCTATATATAACTTAGGTCGTCGCGAATCTCTCAGAGAAAAGTTTAAGGAGATCAACATTCTGACCGTACCGAGTCAATTTATTTATGAAAACATTATGTATGTTAGGAAAAACCTACACTTATTTGTAAAGGTATCTGACAAACATGATTATCATACTAGACATAGGAATAGATTGAGTCAGCCTTTATTTAGATTGGCAAAAGTGCATAAGTCATTCCTGGGTTTCTGTGTTAAATGTTATAATAAAATCCCAGTTGAAATTCAAAATCTAAATGAAAGCAAATTTAAATTATGTATAAAGAAACATTTATGTAAACTAGCATACTACAAACTAAATGATTATATACAAGATAAAAATGCTTGGAGGCTAGCTGGTCCTACTCCACAGGATGTTTAGAGGAATTTTTGATTTTAATTATTAAATTGTACACTATGTTGTTAATTGTTGATGAACTTCTAAGTTTTTGTAAATGTGAGTACCCTGTAACCTATTATAATTAAGTAAGACTTGTAGAATATAGGTACTTGTGTCGGCTGGGAGCTGTCATGCTCACTTAGAGGTCTCATTGGCGGTGGCACGGCCACTGGATCGCCCAATTCCCTATAATATGGTTGAGTTGGGCGGTGCTGGTGTACGTGTCATGTTCGTGAACGGGCGCCGCCTATTGGGACTGGTCATCTCCAGGCTGTCTAAATATGTAGTCCTTGAGGTTCACTTCTTTTTCGTACCTTTTGCCTGAACATTAGTGTTACATTGTTCTCACATATCAGAACCAACTAAATGATGTAACAAAGAAATGTATTGTAAAACTGATTGAAAAAGAGTAACCATGGAGTTTCTTGCTCGTTCTTCTCCATAGGAATCTACACTTTGGAACGAGCAAATAGCTTCACTAGAGGACAGACGGACAGACTGACATGCTTAATTTTAAAGCTCATGTTATATACTTTTTTCCTTTTTTGCTTGCTTGACGTTCAAAAGTGCCTACTGTGGTCTAATTGAAATAAATGATTTTTGACTTTTGACTTTTGACTTTTTTTGACATGATTTTACCTAATATTTTTTCAGAATTGCTAACAGGGTAAGTGCATATGAGGGCCTAGAGCCGAGAAGGAACCGGGTGTTTTTAAGTCAGTAAGGCCCTTTTTTTGTCAGGGAAACATCATCGAATGACCTCTCTCGTCCAGGGTAAGGCGAGACTGAGAGAGCGTCAGACTCTTACTGACTAAAAATACCCCTGTTTCTTCTCCTGTTTTGGGTCGAGGTCGCGGTGCCTCATTGCGCTTACCCCGCAGCCACGGCTGAACATCAGCCCTATAGGGCCCCGTCTGTGGTGGTCTATTGGCTCTTTGAGGCGCGCGCGGAACGCTACGCACCGTACGCTCGGGCCTGGTTCTGGTCGGGCGGCAAGCTACCCTTACTCGCCGACCGCAGACTCGCAGTAAGGCCCTGACGCTTTCTTTTTGCCTCATCTGGCCGAGAGCAGTCATTTGATAATCCCTCCCCCCTCTCCCCCAAAGTAAATCCTACTATCCTACTTCCCTATTCCTATTTCATACAAATATTTTTTTTTATTAATGTCAAAGTTTGTGAGAATATATAGTTGTATATTTGTTATTCTTCAACACGAAAACAGCTGAACCGATTTGGTTGACATTTCGTATGTATGTAGATAGATGATATCTTGAATTAAATAAAACATAGGCTAATCTTATCAACATACCTAGCAAAACCGCAGGCAGAAGCTAGTATATCTATACTAATATAATAAAGAGGTAAAATTTGTAAGATTGTATGTAGGGGGTAATCTTTGGAACCGCTGGTCGAATTGCCAAAATTCTTTCACTGATAGATAGCTACAATGTTCTTGAGTGGTATAGGCTATAAAACATGACGCTACGATCAAATGAAGCCGAGCAGCGGGTGAAACCGCGTGAGAATAGCTAGTAATACATATAATAGCAATAAAAATACACACAACGCAGAATTAGTACCTATAAGTATTTGCTAAACACTTGAAATCGTCGCGCATTACTTGTTCCGTCACACACTCTCGACTCTGAACTGTTGTGGCTTTGAGCTGAGAGCCAGGCTGACAGCGTCACTAGTCTAGCACATAGGTACATAATGACGGGTAAATATGTATTATGCTGTATACACAGGATCTACGGCAAAGGTGTGGAACATGGTATTAAAAAGATTTGTCCAAAGACAGGGCCACGACGGCTGAAATTTTTTTAAAGTTTGGGAGAGCCATGCTTCGGCACGAATGGGTCGGTTCGACCGAAGTGATACCACGGCCTCACAGAATACCGACGTGAAACAACCCACAGCGTTGTGTTTCGCCATGTGAGTGAAGTTACCGGAGGCCCAATCTCCCCTTCCCCTATCCCTTCCCAATCCTTATATCCGCAACCCCTATCCCCAAAAGGCCGGCAACGCACTCGTAACTTCTTTGGTGTTGCGGGTGTCCATGCCGTGTGGTTACCTGATCCCTATTCTCTCCCGTATCTCTTCCAAATCCTTAAATATCCGAAACCCATATCTCTAAAAGGCTGGCAACGCATTCGTAATTCCTTTGGTGTTGCGCAAAGTTTTTAGTATTTATTTTTAAAGAAATCGAAAACAAAAGTACTTCTTATTCCGAAACATTCAACTGTTTAGCTAATTAATATTACGGTTCATGAGACACAGTCTAGCGACAGACAGTTAGACAAGTTTTTAGTCTTTCAGAATCAGGAAAGAACGGGGTGGTTTTTAGTCAGTAAGAGTCTGAAATCTCAGTAGAAGTAATTGAATGACTATCCCTCTCAAAATGAAGAACATACAAAATCTTAAACGCTGTCGTAGTACGGATGGATGTTTGTTACTCTCTCACGTAAACACTACTGAACGGATCTGTATGTAATTTGGCACACAGATAGATTACCTATAGTCTGGAATAACATATAGACAGATTTTACATTTATAGAAACCATTTCTCCATTATAATGAAATGAGGTGACATTTGCCTTTTCAATATATTCTTTTAAGAGAGGATTTTATAATCTTAGCACCATTATAAATGCGTCGTTATGTACATAAGTAGGTACTTAGGATATACATGTATAAATGTATCTAAACCTCGAGCCCAAGGCTAGCAAACAGACAAACGGACAGACACACAAACATACACAATATTCCGTAATTGTGGAAACTTAGTGACCATTATAGCGAAGTTGTTTAACCAAACATTATGTATCTACATACATAATAAATAGGTACATAAGGTGCCAAGTTTGCTAAATAACAAACAATTATTTGTTGACTCTAGCAATTGTATTATTACCTTCGTTCGACCAATTCCGTAGTATTGGGTAGTTTCCTAGGTCAACAATAAATTATTTCGACGTTTCAATACAATAAAATATTGAAAAATAACTACTTATACTTTTATTCAACGATCGATACATACACTAATTTTTAGATTTTTTTAGCTAATTATTAAGAAATAAGTAAGCTATTTGATGCAAAAATTTTATGACGTCATAGCTCAGTTTTTCATACAAATTTCATAGAAAATTATCGTTTTTGACATTCGGATAAAAGTATTGAATTTGACTAGTTGGAAACTACCGTATTGCTCTCGAATTAATCTATACTAATATTATAAAGAGGTAAAATTTGTAAGTTTGTATGTAGGGGGTAATCTTTGGAAACGCTGGTCGGATTGCCAAAATTCTTTCACTGATAGATAGCTACAATGTTCCTGAGTGCTAGGTATAGGCTATAAAACATCACGCTACGATCAAATGGAGCCGAGCAGCGAGTGAAACCGCGTGGGAGTAGCTAGTATATAACAAATTGAACATATTATTATTATATTATATTTTATATACATATTATTATTATACTTACTAACCTTGCCCTCGACTTTGTTCGCGTGGAATAGTGACTTCCTGCAGATTTTTGGTTTACAAACTATCCTATGTCCTTTCTCGAGTTCCAAACTATGTCTGTACCAAATTTCACAGAAATCGGTTCAGAAGTTTAGGCGTGAAGAAAAGACTGACAGACAGACTTTCGCATTTATAATATTAGTTTGGATTATTTCGTTGATTGTTTACAAAAACAAACTTAAATTATAACGTCATATTATTATTTATTTCCGTTCACGAATGATAGGTGCTCAGTATAGCATTTTTTATTGTCATAGGTCGTCAAACGAGCAGACGGATTACCTGATGGTAAGCAATCGTGAGTCGTGGGGGCCCCGAGGCTGAGGAGCCCGCTTCTCATGCATGAGGGTTTGGGTTCGAAACCACTGTGTGTGTGAAGTTCCAATACTACCAGTACTTTCTATGATTATTTAGACACCACTGACATACGGTGAAGGTAAACATCGTGAGGAAACCTGGACTTATACACTACTAATTATAAGTTTGAAATCGCCAACCCGCATTGAGCAAGCGTGGTGATTAATGCTCTAACCTTCTCCGTGTGAGAAGAGGCCTTTGCT